GTTTCAAAACAACGTTCCTTTCAGGCTCTCTAACCCCTTTGCTTAGTTCTTTCCGATGATTTCCCGGTTTCTTCCTCCACCATTAATGCTGGCCGTCATTAATAGCCTATCGTGTGCTGAAAAATGGCGTTAAGCCCAACAACAACAACAACCCTTTGCTTGAACATAGACGTATGAGAACTGTTTTCCTGTGCATGTGAGATTTTGAGCTGGACCCTGCACCTACATAATCCGTGTTTTCCTTCGGGTATTATAGTCTTTTCAAATTGTAAAACTGGTATACAGAAATGTGTGCTCTCAAGTATGTATGTATGTATGTATGTATGTATGTATGTATGTATGTATGTATGTATGTATGTATGTATGTATGTATGTATGTATGTATGTATGTATGTATGTATGTATGTATGTATGTATGTATGTGTGAGGGTGCGTGCGTGTGTGCGTGCATGCATGCATGCATGTATGTATGTACTAACGTTTAGCGGCACATCAGCACAATAATAATTAAAAGTCAAGTTCTGAAAATTTAAGCCCGAAGAATTGCACAAACATGTTTGGAAGATAAAACCTTCCAAATAAATATAAACATGCACACACACGTTTGGAAGATAGCGCCTTCCAAAACAAATGTGAACATAAATTACAGCTCAAAGGCGTACAGTTTTAAACATGTATTAAATAAATTATGCATTTTCACACATACACTTTTCAGGAAGTCCATACACAAGTTTCATTCTACTTTGTACAGATACCAGTTTTTGTCGTCAAGTAGTTCAATGCATATTCAATTCAGGCTAACCTTTACGGTTAAAGTTACCCAAATAATTTAAATCAGTTGCTACGAGTACGCAAATAACGTCTCCAATTATTGTTTCCTTTATGAAGGTACTGATTTTTGTTGCCAGTTCTATGGTATACAGTTCCAGCCAATCAGAGAAAGCAGAGTACCGATAACTATACCTTAGGACCCCAATAAAGATAGCGAAACACATGGTTATTGTCAGAGCAGGTCTGCCTTCGTGGCCATGCTAGATAACGGTAATTATCATTCCACTGATTTTGTTAATTTCTTTCCGTCATCATTGTCATAGTCATCTTTTTTACTTCAGAAAAAAAATGCATACCCATAATGCACTTTTAGTATAACGTTGAGGTCATTTAGAAGGGGAAAAAAGGAAAATTGGATGTTAAAAAAATTAAACATCGCTAAAAACAACATTATCCCTTAAAATGTCCCGTGTTCCCTCTTTTGTCTTATCCCTCGGCCCTACCCTAACCTTCACTGTCCTTCCTGCATGGAAGCAGCGAAGCAGAGAAGTACAAGCCCATAAATTGAATCCCTACATTCCAGTTGCATTTTGCAGATCAATACAGGGCGTTTCATAAGGACCATTAGATGAACAGTTTTACAACGTGGTTGTTTCTTTCATGAAAAGAGTTCAGAAAAGTGACATAAACATACTTTATACTAAATAATGAATGAAACTGGATTTAAAATGGGACTGAAGGAAGCATCAGATCTGTCTTGTTGGTGTACGAGGCTGTTCGTGTTCCCTTAATGCAAACAAAAATACATTTTCAATCATGTAGCTAAAAATGTACAATTACCGACTTATATTGCTATTTTTCCAAATCGTTTTATTTTCTTACTCTTGAGTGGTATTTTAATTTTAAGGCTAAGAAAAACATGCCATAGTTTACAAGTGCACACACGAATATAGAAGTGTACGGACAAGCGATTGTATGTAATTATTCTGAATATACATCTTTATCAAACCAAAGGAAAGGAAACATCTGAACATCTGATTTATTTTCTTTTGACATGTGTTTTGTTAGCCCTAGATCGTCAAGTACAGCACGCTACGCGTGATACCAAAGTGACGTGTTATTTTGAATAGTTTCTACAAGGTCACGTCTTTATTAAAATGACAGTAAACCATGCTACACGTCAGCCCAAACCGCTGCTGAACGATTAATGTGCACGTCTTTTTCTTAGCTACCTGTTAGCATAATTTGTAAGAGGGCATTTTTGTCTTCTTTTTCGTAGGCCTGGGAAATACCTTTAAATTAAAATAATTACATCCTAGAAGACTATTAGGGAGTAATTACAATACAGTCATTTAAGAGAAGAATTCATCCAAAGGGGAGCGTAGCGAGGGATTTGAGTTGTACATTTAGGTGCTTGACGGTAAATACCTGGTCCCTGGGCCGGATTAAGGCCTTATGGGGGCCATGGGCAAAGACAACATACGGTCCCATAGCTATCCTGCCTTTTCCATATATATATAATTACAGTAATAATAACAACCCTATCTGTGAAATCAGACAATGATATACGAGGAACCTTGAGCCTCGGGTGCCCTGGGCACATTGCCCACTTTGCCCTATGGATGATAAGGGAATGTCTGGCCCATCGGCCTTGTTTGTTATGGACCTAAATGTGTAAATATTTGACACTTGATTACTTTGTTCTTAATAAAAGCTGTCATAAAAACAAACAAACAAACATAATTCGAGACAAATCGGATCCGGTAAATTTATCATTCTTACAATATCGGCCTGTAAAGGTAACACGTTTAACTTTTGCATCATATTTGATTAAGTGGTTCTTGGACGACCAGTGTTTGAAGCAGTATAAACTTTGAACAATGAAGTTACCACCAGCTCTCCTCATCTGGGCATGTGTGTGTGGGTGTGCGTGTGCGTGTGTGTGTGTGTGTGTGAGAGAGAGAGAGAGAGAGAGAGAGAGAGAGAGAGAGAGAGAGAGAGAGAGAGAGAGAGAGAGAGAGAGAGAGAGAGAGAGAGAGAGAGAGAGAGAGAGAGAGAGAGAGAGAGAATGCTTGCTGAGATGGGTGGCGTGGGGAAATGTGTCAATTTACCTACCAGTACAAAACCAGCAAGAGTTATTTCAATTTAAAGGTCTCAAGATTTAAACCTTTGTTCCTCTAATGAAATTGGAAATATTAATTTATATTTGTGCCGTTAGCTACACAGAGGAATTATAGTTGCTCAATGCCAAAGTGAACAAAAATATAAAATTAGCAGCAATTTTGGAAAGACACGTATTAATCCTTGTTCAAACGGCCAAAGATAGAAATGGGCATATCAGATCTTCTCCGAGAAACCAATTATCAAATTAAGACCGTTTTAAAAATATTCCCTTTCATTCAGAAAGTTTTTAATTACACGTAATTTTATATAAATTTGTTTATATGTATGTCGAGGCGATTCATACTCGATGCTGAAGTCTATCTCCGTGACTTCTTGTACTTTGTTTATTTATTTGTCTATTAATTTATTTGTGAATTATCTTTAGCACAAGAAATCTCATTGTTTCTGCGTTATGCATTGTTTCTATTGCAAACTTCAAGGAGCTTTAAAAATAAAGTGGATGCTTGATTGTTTGCCCGTTATGTCATTTTATTTTCCTGTACGAAACGCTGATAAGCGGTTGATTTTCATAGATACATAAACTAGACTGGTAATTCTGCGCAACAATATGACATTCTTGTAAACATCGGATTACATAATAGTTCTGGTCGAAAATCCTATTTGTATCAAGAAAGAACGATTCCCTTTCAATTAAGGAAAGTATTTTTCATAAAGTGTACAAAAATATCCCACATGTTTTTCCTAAAAGCATATGAAAGTGTGATTTTTAAATGTCAACAAAGACCCACTGCATGACCTTTATGAACTTTTAACCCAGAAAATTTTAATTACTATATATCTTTTAGAATCATAGAAATAAAAACATTGTATATAAGATGGAAATATATATATATATATATATATATATATATATATATATATATATATATATATATATATATATATATATATATATATATATATATATATCTTAAAACGAAGCTGCATTTTTATTCCAAGTTTCTAAATTTGCAAACAGTTGTCCCACACATACAAAATCATCTGCTAACCAAAATGTCAACATGCCGATAGAACTGGGATGCTAAAGAAATTCCCCGGTGTCTTGTACGTTTAAAAATTCTTCAGTATTTTTTTCTCTCACATAAATGAGACTTTGTAAACATATTGTATTATATTCATTGTTGTTTCTCTACAATATAATAGCTGCTTTTAAAAAAAAATTAATTGGTGAACTTTACAATTTTACAATTTTTTTTACAAGATCTGTTTAGTTTGCTTAATATCTCTTGACATTTTTAGCAATGTTACGTTGAATTTTGTAAAATCAGCTATAAAGCCGACCTAATTATATAGGACTGGAGGATGAAAACTATGCACTAGTGAAATTTAACATTTTCTAGATCTTCTTATTATCCTTCAATTTTTACTATAGGAATAGCCGGTGTGGAATCAAATGTTCGGGATATGGTCTGCGTTACATATGTACAAAAAGTAAAAATAGATGTCGCTTTGGCTTGTGGACTTTTGGGGAGTTATACAACGTTTTCAGTTTCCGCATCTGGTCTATACAAGCTGGTTGTATTTGTAGCTTTGGCACATGTGAGGACAGCCGTGTGGAGGTTTACAGACACAACGTTTTTGTGTTTGTTTGTTTATCGTGTATATGTTTTGTATTTGCCTTTGAAGGGGACTCATTGAGAGTCGAGGGCGCTTGGGCTAGTTAGTTACTAGTTTCGTACTGTTCGTCGTCAGTTTATTGCATCTATATATATATATATATATATATATATATATATATATATATATATATATATATATATATATATATATATATATATATATATATATATATATATATAACTGCTGCGCTTCTCGCATACTCTTCTGAGTTATGTCTTTCTTCTATGTTAAACAATATCCATTCCACCTATCCCATAATAATCTCTGGGATAATGAAAAATCGGAATGTTTCCTACACATCCATGAATAATGAGCAGTAATGCTGCATGAGTTACAGACTGGAAGTTGGGGCAGCAGTGTAATTCCCAAATTATAATTAAAGTTGCAAAGGAGAAACTTTCAAAGGAAAATGGAAAGTTGGAGACGTGGTAGATTAGCTGGTAAATCGCCAGACTCGTAATCCAGTTGTCACGTGTTCGATACCTGTCCGGACCAGACTGGGTCGTCTACCTTGCAATGACCTTGAGAAGGGCACTTTATAAGCTCGTATTTCCTCGACATGAATTTTTGAAAGTGCTTAATCTGCTCACCCAACCCAAATACCGATCGACGAATTGCTTATACGTTCCTGAAAATGAAATGTTTTGCTTATAAAAGGTATACATATATTCCCCTATAACTATCCACTGGATCTTCTATTTTTTATTTTTAAAAAAATATAAAATAAACAAAAGAAAGAAATTTTGCAAGTTTGTTTTATTTCTGAGAATAGATGAGGCCTTTAAGACATTTTTTTTAAAAATTTAAACGGTACATCTAGTGGTATGGGATATCAAAACAATAGAAAGTAATATTTCCATTTTGCACATGACAACATAAATAAAGATATACTTATTATTCTTGACATCAATTAGCGACTCTCTAATGTGTATTTAATTTCCTTACTGTACTTTGTGAAACAACTCTGCAGGACTGGCTGTCAGGTTGGTACACCTGCTAATTACAATCATAGATGAAGTTCATTACGTGAGGAAAATTCTCAACTAGAAATTTCAAGTCTGGAAAACACAGTTCTGAAAGCTGAACACTTGTAATTGTTTGAAACGACTAACGTAAAATCAACAGTAATATGTAATACGAGACTGAAACAGACAGTACAAAATTGTATTCAGCAATACCATTGAACAATAATGAGCGTTAATATATTGTGAAATTCCTAAGAAAACTCACATGACATTGTCAAAACATAAAAATCGAAAATAATGTTTAAAATTAAATCTCCACTAAGAAATGACAAAAGATGGAAGAAGAGAATGGTTATTTTTCTAAGTTAAGAAAAAATTCTCCTTAATTTGATGAAGAGAAAAGTTCTGATAACGTCTAGTCATAAATACAAATTTAATTTTTATCCTAGAAGCAATGAAAAGAATCAAAAACAAATAACTTCTGCCTTAACAAAATTAAATTTCATCCCTCTTGGATACACGAATGATCACGAATGTCTTGTTTCGTTATTCCTTGGAAGAAAGGAACAGTATGCCTAAATAATTTAAGACCTATACCTCCTATCAAAACTAAATCCATAACAGGAAATTGTCACGTGCGTAGACATCATGTTAGGTCTGGGATTCGAATAGTCACATAGTTTATTCGTGGAATGAGCTACTGATGAGTGATTTATGAAATACCTTATCCCTGGTCAAAGTATAAATCGTAAAAATCAATGCTAGGTTCGTTGTTTGCGTTACTTTGAAGGAATAATTTCACAAAATGACACGTTTGCATGTCTATCTAAATTTATAAATAACATTCTGAAATCCCGTCGCTGTCTGTGCTTATTCCAAATTCATGTACAAGAATGTAAGTAGATAAGATAATAAGTTTTCTCTGTTTTAACGATAAAGGTCGATGTTTCGAAATTACTGAGTCAGTAAGTAAATAATACATATAGTTATGCACTATTATTTATTTTGACGCGCAATATGTCCCAAAGAGTGATGTTATGTCTCAAACAATACAACCAGCAATGCAAATTCCCGTATATACCAAAATTAATTCTTTGCCCTGGTAAGTGTGTATAGTGTATCTTCCATCGATCGTAAGAAGGAGAACTGAAGTCTGCTGTACTTCACAGTTCTCTCAGTAGGACACTGTACATTTTGTTCCAAAATGAAGGTATTCGTACAATGCGTAGGTTAAACAGAACGACAAATTTACATCCATATACTCGGTAAAGGCCATCTGTAACAAGAGAGAGGTCAAGCGCTCACAGCAGCACTAGAAAATCAGTGTTACGGTTTCTGTCATTCTTGCAGGAGATACGTAAAAGACGGTTTCAGCAAATGAAACTTTGTCTAAACCAGTTCCGTCCGTCTGTGCTGATACATGTTTACGATACATGCGCAATCACATCAATAACTTTCGCTTCTAATAAACCTGCGTCGTTCGTGCAGATGCAGAGTTGCACATAACAATTACATTGGTGCCATTTTTAGCCGGCATCTAGCTGTGTGAATATCATTGTATGCAATTATCGGGCCATTTGACATGTGGAAACTTACTACAGAATATTTCTTGCAGTTCTGCTCATGCTTGATGCTGTTTGGATTTTGTGTTCCTCAATCGTTGGCATCCAGTGAGTATATATTTTTATTTCTTGTATCCATTCTGCTTTTTTAAAAATCTCTTTGAACAGGCAGACGGACAGACTTAGTGATAGCATGAGTATATAACATGGACATGTTTGATAAAGTAACTTTCTACCAAACTAACTACCTTCATATATTCTATCATATCTGCTTGCCCTGTAATCGTATGAGAGAGAGAGAGAGAGAGAGAGAGAGAGAGAGAGAGAGAGAGAGAGAGAGAGAGAGAGAGAGAGAGAGAGAGAGAGAGAGAGAGAGAGAGAGAGAGAGAGAGAGAGAGAGAGTACATTAATTGTTCCATGGAACCCTTGTCTTTGGTTAGGTCCTCGTGTCGAATTTATAAAAGAAGCTACATGCGTCGGCGTTCAAAGGTTAATGTATAGTTAAACCTCTTTAAACAAAGCCTCGTTTAAGAGACGAATTCCATTAGGAAACCATACAATTTTCATTGATATATTTCCTGGTCCAAGACCTGTGTTTTATAGACCATTAGTCTTCAGAGGACACCTGTTGTGACCTCTTGCTTGGTTGTAATGTATTATAGCTTTGGCGTTAAGAAAGCCATTTGTTACACTCGGACTATCTAATGCTGACCTATCTAACCTAAAGCTGACCTAACACTCGTTTTCAATACTAGGAGTAGATTTCAGCAATAATAAACTTGGCGGTTATGTTATACGCATGCCAGCAGATGAGAATTTCGTTCACTTCTGATTTACGTCGAATATCTTAAAACGAGAATCGATAATTTAGTATGTGCATATATCGTATTATACTTGCCTAATCACTGCTAAACCTTTCAGGGATAATGATAAATTACTTCGTCCGTTGATATCCTATTTCTATACCATTTTGTTCATCTCGTGAGACCAAACTCTCACAAGTGTCCACCTTTAGATCTCAGAACATACGATCTCTTAAACGGTATGATGACAGTTAGGTTCGGCGACTGCCTGGGGCATCAGGCTTGGGAACTACATATGCAGTAGAAAAATATGGCATTCAAGTGTTAAACAAATGGGGGGGGGTGTCAGCACAGACGTTCCTCGCCTGGAGCGCCATTTGGCGTGGGGCTGACTCTGACCGCACATGAATATAGTTTGACAAAGAGCCTTAGCGGGTGGTATCTTTCATAATTGACGTTGTCGACAAATTTTCTCAGCAACAGCCCTTCTCTAGATCTATCGGACACGTGAGCAACAAAATCAGACACATGACTACACCCTAATGAACACATTGCTTAAAGTGAAAGTAAAACATCTGATGCCATCTGTTCTGGACTTGAAAGCCACGCTTCAACACAAGAGTCTGAAGTTTTATCAATAAAGCACGACGAAATTTCTGACTACATGAAATCACCTTTACGGTATTATAAAATAATAATAAGGAATGCAACTCGACCACAACCCACCACTCGATTTGAATTTTCTCACAAGTCTTTTAACCCTTCAAAATCGCACGAACTCTGAAAAAGTACACATATCCATTAAAAAAAAAAAAACAGTAACGTACTTTCTCATCATTCTCGGACGACCATTGCATGAATCCAATCCGGCGAATATACCTTTATTTTCACCATTACGGTCACAAACTCTGGAGACGTGAACCATTTGAGGAAGTAGCCCATTTCTACCACGGGCTAAATAACGTCATTAAACTAATTTTACAAGATAAACTGTTTAACTTGTTTTTATTTCAGATTGCATCATTTTATAATTTTTGTATCAATTTCCAGAACAAAAATGTATAGTTAAAGTTCTGAGTACAAATAACGGCTGATGACGTCATCATATTCAAATATTAGAACTTAGACGGATGATGGACCCGGAAGTTTCTGCGCCATGTTCGGAACGATTATTAGATCCTAACTCATATTTACTGCTAGCACAAATAAGCTACTTCCTCAAATGGTTCACGTAAGGTTTGTAAGCCTCAACGTATTCTCTACAGATAAAGTTATGTTAATACGATTGATTGAAGTCTGACTGGATTTAAATTTACTTGTGTGGAATACATTCTGACAGCTGGTAATTACAGTATATAAGTCGACCCAACTGATCTTTCTATTGATGTATGTTGTTGTTTTGTTGTTGCTTTTTGTGGTTTTTGCGTTTGTTGTTTGTTTTGTTTTGTTTTGGGTTTTTGTGATTAACAACCGATAAAAGAAAATTCCAGTGTGTGTGTTATATTACTTGTTTTTCTATTGGAATTTCCTTATTGCAGTACAGAAGCCAAAAGAGATTAATTTTCTCGCCAGTGTTTTAGATTCAAATTAAAACAAACCTGCACATTTTGCAACATGGCAAATTTAACTCGTACAATATTCATCAAGTATTAGTATTATTGATGTCTCTAACATTTTATACAGGTCATACAGTCTTATTGCTTCATAAAAATCTAAATAAATATCTAAGTAATATATATATATATATATATATATATATATATATATATATATATATATATATATATATATATACAAGTCTCTCTTATGGAGGAAAAACAAGTAAAAAAAGAAGAAAAAAAACAGTTCTCTGTTACGTACTGTAAGTTTTGAACCATGAGCGTCTCGAACCAGGAGCTGTTGTTTATAAACACCGCCCATTAATACGAACATGTTGTACGCAGTGGCATGACCTGTTGTACGTAAATTCTATGTTTGAGAAAATAGAAACATTAAAACATGTGCTTCTATTACTATATTATCATATTTAATAGATGGATGTTATATGAAAATAACAATACGCAATTAATATCTTTTATAAAAATAATTTGTTACTTTCAATTTAATTTAAATTCTAATTAAGAAATGTTTTAAGATAGCCAAGGATACCATCCACACTGGGCACA